GACAAACACTCGGCATACGGAACGCACCCCCGAGCACGACGAAAAGTTCGCCCGGGCGTTTGAAAACTGTGAAAACGGAACGCGGTTATGACGTCACACCTCTTAAACGGAACGGATTTGGACGAAAAGTTGTCGTCCGGGCGTTAATACGGACGCACACTTGGTATTGCGCCGCTACCGCGTCGCTTAAAATTAATATATAGTATATTAACAGTACATTTTGTGTTATTATACATTATTAAGATAGTTTGTTATACAAGATGAAGCTAATAAGAATCGTAATATATATATTTATAAAAAATCAGAATTGCTATTCATAATTATATGGAAAAAGTTTTTTTTTAAATATTTTATTTTATTGTATTTAATTTTATTGTATCGCACTTTATGTACACATACCGCCCACAAAATACGTCAGGTATAATAATTATATATACGCCCCGGACATTTTCAACATTTTTACATGTTTCTATCAGCATTTAACTTATTTCAATTAATAAATATAATTATTCAGTTAATAAATATAAAGTTATGAATTAACTTGCGTCTTGAAATATTTTTAATAAGCACCTAGCATATTAAAACCTATAAAATAAATTGAAATTTCAAATATATGTTTTAGACATTGTCCGTGGACGTCGGTGGAAATTGCAACATCCGATGTATGTCCAATTAAAATCTGTCAAACGTTCACTGAACGTCCAGCATGGACATTCTATGGCCGTCCACCGGAGTTGCAAACGTACCTCGAATGGGTGTTCATTTAACATCCGGCGGACTTAAATCGGACGTTTGATAGACATTCATTGGACGTCCATGTGTTATCTAGGTATAAATATATATAATAATTAATATATATAAAAATATAATATATATAATATAGTATAAAAATTGATGTACTATAAATTATATACTATATTAATAGTTAAATTTGATCAAAAAATGTTCAAATGATTTAATATTGGTAATAAATCATGAAATTTTTTATTTTACTCTTTATATTGCAAATATTCTGATTTAACAATCATCTATAAATGAAGCATAAAGGAATTAATGTTTCAAGGTGAATGAATCTATTCATTGATTATTTTTCTGTCGCTTATCTTATCAATAATTAGCACGTAAATTAATTTTCTTATCTCTTGTTACAACCTTATAAAAAGTAAGCGACTTCAGTTAAAATACACTTAATCGTGTCTCGCACGAATTTAATTCTAAATATATATATATATTTGAAAATATATATTTGAAAATGGCATACGTCAAGTTTTTGTTCAGTTTTGCTCTCGCGACGTTTTCTTTTAAAGAAATCTATGGACATGGAATGCTTATGGAACCTGTGAATCGAGGTAGTGCTTGGAGGAAGGGCTTCAAAACACCTATCAATTATGACGATGATGGAAATTATTGTGGTGGTTTATTTGTAAGTATACATCATTATAAAATATAAAATTCAAAACTTATAAGTATAATTGTGAGTTAGATGATCATTCTCTCATTTTGAATTTATATTTTTATATAGATGGCTTATTTTATTAAAAAAATAAGTTTTGAAAAAAATGAGTTTGTTTCTTTTATAGATTTTTATATCCTTTTTATTTCTTTTATTTTTAAGTTTAATATTTAGAACAATAGTTTTATGCATTAGTCAATAAAGTTTGAGTTTGCATTTAGTCAAAGAGGTTTGGTTGTTAAACAAAATTGCATAAGTGCAAATCAGAAAGTGGTATAAATTTCTTATCAGCAATTTATTTTATAATCGCGGCTTTGAGCAATAATTCGAACAAATTGTTTGCAAGAGCAAACTGCTCAAGCGTATAAGTAGCGTTATTATAACTATGTTATTTAATTGATTTTAATTAAATTTAATTAAAGTAGACATTATTGGTAATAAGCAAGATTGAGAATTAATGCGTTACTTATAACGCCGCTATCGTTTTCAATAGCTTTTTTTAACGATTTTGTTACTTTTTTCTATCTATAACGGTGACTGTAACATTATAACAATTTTATAGAAAGAGAAATATTAACGATAACAAATTTACCGATTTTTTTTATATTTTTACTTTCTTATTTTATAATATATTTTTAATTAATTTTTTTTTTAATATTTAATACTCTTAAGTTACATTCCCATAGTCACTACTAGTATTGAAAATCTATAATTCACATTACATGTACTATAAATTTCCAGTATTAACAGTGAATATCGGAATGCACTCTTATAATAATAACATTAACGTTTTAAAACAATAAATTTAATCTAACTTTCTATAAAAATTAATAATATTATATAAAAATAAATAATACAAAAAAACATTTTAATATACAGACTTGTCAAGAATTTCAATTTCAAGTTTTATTTATTATTACAATTAATAATAATTCAATTTTAATAATAATTATAAATAATATAAAGGGAAATGTAAAAAATTCCGATTTTTGGCCTTCCTGCAGAACTTTAGTTGTCTACAAAAAGTTGTTGTTTGGGACCTACATGAAATAGCAAAAATAATTGTATATCCCATAAATGTGGTAAAAATAGATTTTTAAAATGTTTATATCATGTCTCTTTTGTAAGTCGAATTTCCGTATACCACGTTAGAACTTATTAATAATGGAATGTATTGTAAAAATAGAATGTATTGTATATTGTAAAAAAGTTTCTCATCATAATTTGTACTTATTGTTAGAAATCGGTCTAAACTATTGCAATTGTTTAAAACCCATTATTTAACAATCGAGTGAAGATATACACCTCTTTGGTAATTGTTATTTAACACTAAAAAATTGAACGGAATAAGTTCTAAATCTCTCGCATTATCCATTAATTTATAACACGATATTTAACAAGTTAACGATGATATCTGAGATCTGTTTATGCAGTAATTGTTAATTAATACTTAGAAATCGGTTTAAACTGTTGCAGTTGTTTAAAATCCATTATTTAACAATTGAATAAAGACATCGATGATCCATCTCTAAATGTTATTTAAAACTAATAAATTGAATAGAATAACTTCTAAATCTCTCGCACTATCCATTTTTTTATAACGTATTATCTAATAAATTAACGACAATATCTGAGATCTGTTTGTACAGTAATTGTTGTAATTAAGACTTAGAAATTGGACTGAATTATAAACTATTGCTATTGTTTAAAATCCATTATTTAAGAATAGGAAAGATATCGATGATTTATCTTTTTGGTAATTGTTATTTAACGCTAATAAATAAAATGGATCAATGTCTATACCTTTATGTTATTGGCTGAGTTCCGTAAAGTGCATGATGTGTCATTTCACCCTTGCTTAATATTTGATAAACAACAAGGATAAAATGGTACATCTTGTGTATTATGCGCTTTACGGAACTCACAATCAGCCATTATATGCTTATCAACTAGGCTGAACAAGGATATAAATGGGACACTCAGGTGATATTTAATTTTTTTAACAATTAAATATGAAATCAAGTATATTTTATAATACTTAAGTTAGTAGTTTTTATTTTACAAATTCAGAAGTTTACCAAAAAATAGTGAGATTTCTAACAAAAACTCTTTTAAAAAAAGAAAAAAATTTACACTAACTATATAAAAAAAGTATCGTATGTTACATCTTTTCTAAATCAAAAATAGTTTTTATAATTTTTGTTTTACAAATTTGAAAGTTTACAAAAAATAGTGAGATTTCTAACAAAAACTTTTTGAAAAAAAAAAGTTTACACCAAATATATAAAAAAGTATCTGACGTTATGTCTTTTTTAAATATTTTAACCAAACCAAAAATATTTTAACAATTAAAAATTGTCCAAAACTTGGCGTGCCAGAATTTCATTAATGTTTAATTGATAAGACGTTTATAAAATACGGGCACGCTAAGTTTTTGCTTCACTATGATCCCATTGGTTATTTTAAGCCTGTTTTATAAAACTCGAAATTATTTGGAAAGACAATGAACATTAAACAATTGCTGCATACAATACTTTTGAATGGTTTAAACGGTTTATTAAAAAAATATTTTTGCCTCTATGTCTAATTAAATATTTGGCAACTTGCAGGATCTCATATTTGTTTTTGGACAATTTTTATTTGTTAAAATAATATTTTTGGTTTAGGAAAGATGTAATGTACGATACCTTTTTATATACTTGGCGTACACTTTTTCTTTTTTCAAAGAGTTTTTGTTAGGGTATAATTGCTCAAAAAATATTTTTTCCAGCAAATTTATGAGTTCTTTTTTATTTCTATTACTTTATAAAATATTAAAGGTAAATCTTTTACGTTTATTTTTGTTCACATACACATGAAATAAGGACAAAGCCCTTACTACGAAACTTGCTACTATTATCATTCTTAATATTACTTATGATACATTTCTCATGTATGGAAAATAAAATTGTTCACAGATTCACGAAGATTTTTGTAGTTTTTACACTAAAAACTACAAGTTTTATTATAATGGTAGTAAAGTCTTTGATCATAAAGTCATATCTTAATTATTTGCATTATAAAACTAGACTTATAATATAATATGGTAAAAGGAATATGGTAAAACTGCCAAATAGAGGAGTCCCCTCCAATAATCTTGATCTTGACATATGTTGTCAAGGTCATGATCCTGGATGACCTTCGGTAGGTTTTAGTCGTCGCTCTTATTAAATAGAACATAATTTTTAGACATAGTGTATACATTTAAAAGGTACTGACTATCCGAAAATATGTTGGAGCAGGTTCTATTATTCATACGAATAAGTGGCGTGCATATAATGATTTAGATAATGATGATAACTATACGCATTACACTGTTAATCACTTACAAGAGAACCTTGCGAAGTGTCAAATTCTGATTCTAATGAAACTTGCAGTTTAAAATCACTTTAAGAGTACATTTTAAGATCATATAAATAGATGAATTTAGAAATTATCAGTTGGGGCTAAAAAACGGTTTAAAGGGATGAAACCACCCTTTATACAGGGTGTCCCATTTTAATCGATCACTTCAAATATCTTTAGAATGATCCTGAATAACATTCAAAATTTTAGCTAGTGTTCAGACACCTTGGATGCTAATGCCGGTACTCCAGCTTTCAAGCTTTATAACTCAAGATTTATTTCATAAAAAAATATTTTAAACTATGTGTTTTGGAAAACTCTTGAGATGTGCTATAAAAATATGTAGTAAAAAATGGAAGGTTCCATTTAAAAAATTTAAAGTGACCTTGTTCTGACCTTGACAACGCCACTTAGGGTCGAACCAATGTTATCATCTTATGTCCCCCTCGAAGTCAAACAACTTTTGTTTAAAACATTTTTCCATATCTAATTATTTATGATAAATTTTATCAAAACGATAAGTTACTGTAGACATTCTATCGATATTTCAATAATTAAAATAGTTTTTATTAGCTAATGATAGAAAACAACAGGAAACGATAACAATTTCTTTCGGAACAGAGAAAGTGGAACGATAGATACGATAGGACACGATAAAATATTTGTCAGATCCTATATTAGTTCTTATCGTTTTCTATCGATTTTTTTTAACAGTAACTACTCGAACAAAAATATTTCTGTGATTAGACATAAACAGACTGTTTCCGCCATAGATTTGTTTATATCGATTTAACTTGACACTTATACTCAAATGCTTTGTAAGCGTTGTTCAGCCGTGCGCGATAAAAACGATTCATAGTTATACATCCGCAGAATATTGCGGAAATAGATTTGCTTTCATCGTTATCTCTTGTTAAATGAAAAAATGCGAGCAGAACGTGTTGCGTGAAGAATTGCTGTGTGCGCGCCACGTAAACGAGCACGGATGGTGTGCGTATAGCGGCGTTAATAATTATTTCTCGAAAATGATACTTCGGAAAACAACTTTGTCATACATGGTTAAATTAGTATTAAAATAACCTTTAATTTGGTAAAAAAATTCAAAAAATTCAAAAAAAAATTTTGGTAGTGAGGGTAAACAAAAAATTAAGCAATAAAAAATTTTTTTTAATTATAATTATAAAGTACTCTTAAAGTCATTCAACTTTTATTCGGAACATTTTTTTTTATCTCTCCTAATTTCGACGATATTCGCATTAGATCGGAAGAGCACACG